AAGTCTGAAAGAAACATTACTTTTTGAGTGTCCAATCCACTTACGCCAGTGTCAGGGGCACCAAAATTATTGTTATTGTAATACTTTAGGGTTAGAGGAAGTTTCCCGGTGAAAAAAAATTGTAGATCCGGGCCTGGTTCGCTTAATAAGCTAAATTACTTCATAAATAGAATTATTTAGCTTGTTATTTTTTTTATAATAATAATTTTAATCGCGCTGGCATTTGTTACATGTTTGTTACTCAAATTTTGATTACGTTAAGTATGAATATTAGCCGTAGTAACAGCAAGTTAATGTTATATACTAAATTAATTTTATTTAATTGTAAATACCTATCTTTTTTTATTTGAGCTTAATTTGATTAAAATTAAGTTCAATATCGTTTGTAGTTATTAATATGTCCTCGTTTCTCCATTTTTTCACATTTACTTGTTCTATTTGACAAAACTTGTCATTTTTTATATGTGTTACTGGCAGCTGCCATTTTAGTTCAACATACGTATCGCGCATAAAGCCGGCAAATCACATGCCTGCCACGGGGGGCAATCTAGGGTGCACGTTATTTGGGTCAATATCGAAGTTATGTCTACACATACCCATCGATCAGTGTTTTGATAAGCGCGTTGAGAACAACAATGTCGAATCGAAAAATAAAATACCAACCATATATTATTTGCATCCAAACTTCATATTCGTGATTGCTATTTACCGCCATCTTAATTATTAGTCAAACAGAATTTTGAAAATTGTTTTTGATCTCATCTCATCTATTCGAGATACGCGACCCTAAAAAGTAAAAATGATGTGTAATAGAAACCATATCATTAGAGCACAGAACAATCAAGGAAGCAATAGGCATGACGACTGGGTAAAAAAATAGAAATTCTATTTAGTCCATCAGTCAGATAATAGAAAAATATTAGATACGTATTTTTTTACTTCAATTTAACAAGAAATAGCTTAGTTAACAAGCATTAAAGTTCTGTAGAAAATGTACAAAAGCGTGACGTCATGCGACATTTTAACTCAACGTATCGCCATAATTATCGCAAAAATAAAATATAAGAATTTAATATTTTTCAAAAACTACCCGACGGACAAACAAATAAAAATTAGTCGTCATCCCTATTATGGGTCATCACCACCTTTACATCCTAGATTGTCCCAGCAGTATGTTTTTTATGTAGGCCATTAAATATCTAGAATTTCCCGCATGCACTCGTATGTCAAACTTGAACTTATTTTTATTGCATAAGATTTTATAAAGTATAGCCGCTGTCCCGCGACTTCACACACGTAAATTATAGCCTATGTCAACCCCGTATGATATAGATGCCAATAGGTGAAAGTGAAAAAATATAAGTAGTTTAGGAGCCTATTAGAAACAAACAAACAATCACATAATCAAATTTTTCCTCTTTATAATATTAGTATAGGTTAGGCTTTATATAAACTTATGTAATAAAAATCTCAGATTCAAACTAGCAAAACACAACTTTCAAAACTATGTTCGAGAGATAACCTACACTTAAAATATAAATTAATAGGCATATAATTTAAATATATCACATTAAAAACATAAGCTTATTGGTTTAATTTGAAATAATATTGTTCTATTGTTATTTATTTTTAAACAATTGTTAAAAATTGGGTCGAATGTTATGAATTATAAGCGATTGTTGGTTTACTATATAATACTATTACTGAACGTATGTTTTGTGAAAAAATGACAATCTCCTTTGAGAAATTATTAAGATCTGTTCACATTGGTAAACAAAGATGGATCTATGTTAATAGTAAGGTGTTTTGGGGCCGTCTATTAATCACGTGACGCTCGAAAGGGGAGAAAGGGGTTCGTCAAAAATCACGAAATTTCACAAGGGGGAGGGCTGTAGTTACAACACGTGTATTTATTTTTTCCTCAAACGCGCGATTATTAAACCGAAATGCGACGTCAAAAATTAAGATATTTTGTAGGTACTAAAAAATACACGTGATTTGGGTGGAGGGGAAAGGGGTAGTCTTAAATCTCACTATGTATCAACAAGGGGAAGGGGGGATTAAAAAATATTGAAAAAACATAACGTGATTAATGGACAACCCCCTTTGGGGTAATCACGAATACGGGCAAATTCCGAAAATGATATTAAACAAGGAATGTGTCTGTTCTATATAATTAAAGAAAATTAATTTATCAACTTTTTCCCCGCTTTCGGTACTACCCCAAAGCAGCATATTGAAATGAAATAAAATGAAAATATCTTTATTCAAGTAGGCCATATTACAAGCACTTTTGAATCGTCCAAAAAAAATTTTCCCCTGTCACTTGTTCAGGACGTCTTTTAGCTAACAAGAAGAACAAGCGGAAGAAACTTACCAGATTTTTTTCATAAGTATCATATTATATTAAACATTTTAGAGAAGCGATCAATAAAGTAAATTTTGTCAGTCATTAATCCTATTAATATTATAAACGTGAGTTTCTTTGTTTGAATGTTTGTCCGTGAATCACGCCGAAACCACTGAACCGATTTTGAAAAAATTTGGTATACAGATAGGGTATTAGCCGACTAAGATAATAGGATTTTTATCCCACTAATCATTTCCCTAGGGACCACGCGGGCAAAGCCGCTGGCGAAAGTTAGTATACTATACCCTAGCATACTGCCTAAACCATGGAATAGTAAATAGTTTGCACATGCATAATACTAGGGAATGCAATCTCGCTAGATATCGGCCTTTTTAGCGAGATAGATCTCGGTCGAAAAATGGGCGAGATCTCGGGAGTTTAACGAGATTACTCGACCATAAAAACGATTTAATCTAAGTGTTAAAAGGCGAAGTTTAACACTTTTACAGTACTTGTGTTTTCGAAAGGCTAGGCTCAGTGGCTGGTTATCTGACCAGCACAATAATAAGACGAATAGCAAAGATTCTTTGGACATTTTGTGCTTCTTAAGAAGCTACTTTCACAATAGGGATGACGACTAATTTTTGTTTGTTTGTCCGTCAGGTAGAGTGTTAGAGTGTAAAATACTAAACACGTATTTTTTTTTTGTAATCATAAAATTATGGCGTTACGTGGAGTTGAAATTTTGCATGACGTCACGTTATGGTACATTTTCTACAAAACTGTGACGTAGCGAGCCCCCACTCCTCAACTTGCCTATTATCTAAGCTATTCCTTGTTAAATTGAAGTAAAAAAAAATACGTATCTAATATTTTTCTATTATCTGACTGACGGACTAAATAGAATTGCATTTTTTTACCCAGTCGTCATCCCTATTATTCGTAATAATGGCGTGTGAAGTGAACTGAATAAGCCTTTAAATTAATTGGTATATTCTGTTAATTTATTCTCTAATAGATCTCTGGGTACACATAGTTTTCATTCATTGATAATAATCTCAGTTTAATAGTCAATTCAACTTAGTTAATGAGTTATAACGAGTGCGTAATTGGCGAGATCTCGCGGTATTGATATTCATAAACTCGCGAGATATCTCGCCCGAGTCACAATCTCGCGAGATTGCATTCCCTACATGATACGCATAATCTCACTTCATCTAGTGTTTATAAAGAAATTGCGCTTTTTGTTAAGTGCGTCTTGGTTTTTATATGGTGGCCACAGATATTCGGGATGTGATTTTTTGCGTGGGTTGTTTGTGAACATCCGTTTTTTATAAAACAAAGCAGGAGAGAAGGCGTTTCCAATTTTTTTTTATGTAAGCCGTGATTGATGTGGTATAAACTATATCAAGCAACAATAAGGTACGTCACCTATTATGGGGTCCACTATTGAACACTGAAATGATAATAAAAACCCAACTGAAATAGATTTAAAATTATATTCTGTGATTTCCAGTCGGTACAGGACGTAGTTCAGACGTGTTCTAGTTGAGTTTGTAGCACTTCAGCGATATCAAAACCAGTGGCTCTTCCTAGGCGACAGTATCCTAATCCATTTTTAAAGTAGCAAATAGGAATGTCATAACTTTTAGACAAGAGTTTAATCTTATCAAATACGCTAAAAATTTCTTCCTTATTTGGGTCTATGTTGCTACAAATACATGATAAGTTGAAATATAAATATGTGCTTCCGTTATATTTTCTATATTGTGCTTTTAAAATAACCTAATCAATAAATAACTTACACTATCGATAATAATCTTTTATTTGCATATTATTAATAATGTAATTTTTCAGCAGCAGCACATTGGATATAACAAAATATGAAATTTTCACAGTCAATTCCATGCTTTACTTCGAACGGATTTACTTCGATCAAGACCTAATTAAATGTACAACTTGATGTTTCGTTGAGTGTACAAAAACATGGTTCACAAACTCAAAACATGTATTGTTGGAGACAATTATTGTGAACAAAAATGTGGTATTTGACCACCCAAGTTGATCAAAGTGGAAGAAACCTAAAACAGGTTCATTTTTCATCATTTTTTTTATAACTCAATAACAATATAAAATAATTAATCAGCTTATTCACAAAAACTACGAGGGCACCTACTAGTAATAAGTAGTTTCCCCCAATATAAAACTAAATCACCGGGTGAAACAGGCTTTATATTAGAGATGCCCCGAATATCGTAAGTATTCGGTTTAACCTGTGCTTCACATTTCATTGTTTTCCGGCTTGAACAGGTAGTTATATACCGTTTAGTGCACCCAAAAGAAATACTCGAACCGAATATATTCGGCACCAAAAAAACCGAATAATTCAGCCGAATACAAATGAGGAAAAAAGATACCAATACCGAATATCAAAAGAATATTCGGCGCATCTCTATATGTATTTCCACACAAAGCAAATTGCTGATGGTCTCTTTTGAATTTTTATTTATCAAGTGTACAATGGAGTTGTTTTATCTTGACGTATAAACTTTGGCTGGGGTCAGTACTACATTGGTTGATTGGATTAGAAGTTGGTCCAAAGTGTAATTAAAAAAAGTGACAATAGAATTGTAATGAAACATATGATTTGCAATTCAAAATACTTTATTATTTTATAAATTACACAATAAGATCACAACATATTTCAGTTAAGACAAACTCTGAGGAACTTCATAATAAAATCTTATAATGCTATCAATATTTGGTACATGGCACGTGTGTCATATTTTCATTTACGCAGAAACATATTACAATCTATCAAATATTCCACACATATTTGTTATAGAAAAAATCTTATTCTAAAATACTTTGATATCTTATACTAATTTCTATTAAAAAGATATGTACATCCCAAAAGTTATTAAATCTAGTTTGAGATCCATTTGTACTTGTACTTAATTCAATAAATTATTTAAATGTAGTTGGACCCTGTTGCATTTGTAATTATTTGGCCGAGAGAATTTATACTAGTTATTGAGATTTTGTTTAATGATCATTATTTTGAGTAAGAAGAACATCTTCACATCATAAAGTTAAAATCTCTATATTATTGTAGAGATTTTAACTTTATTGCATTATTATTATATTACAAAAAGGAAAAACAATCAAAAATGAGACATGTGTAATCAGGACGGACATATTTAAAAAAAAATAGTATATGCAGTGCGTACATAATTATTTGAAATTCTATATATCAATACTAAGATAAAAATTTATGTATCCACCTATTTTTGTTACCGAGTGTTCTTTTGTATCTATTTTTTAGAATGATTTAACTTATAAAATAATTAAACACTTTAGAAAAAATTAGATTAATTAGAAAAAATTGTTTCAAATAGTCATCTAAAGTTACCATGACTTTTGAGTGTGGAACTTAGAAATTTCGGACAATGAAATTTCTTTTATTTGCCAAATTCTCTGACATGGGTAAGAATAAACTGCTATTTTGAATGAAAAAGTGGTATAAGTATAAATACTTGCCACCGTTTAAAACCTACCATTCACTCAGGGTTACCATATGTACCTATGCTGCTTTTAAAATCTTATTGATTATCTAAACAAAAATTCCCCTTTTCACGCAGTCATGGCTAGTCCAGTTAGGACAAAGTTATTTCTTTAATTTTATGTACGTACATATTACTATATTTGATCAATGCATTCGGAATGCTATATTACATAGAACAATCCACATAACCACCAGTCTTAAGTGATCGAGATAGGATTACTGTAGTAGCTTTGACATGCAGCTTCATCTAAGTATTTAATAGAAAATAAATAGAATTGTCGCGGCAAAAATAAATATTTATGCCACTAAGTAGCCTTACATACAAAAATCAACGTAGAACGCATTACCCTTTTATATAATACGTATACTTAGAAGTCCAGAAAAATTCCATTAATCTTCACCCCCTATTTCAACACCTAAATTGGTGATTAACTAAGGGGTGATTTTCTAAAAATCCTTTATGAGTCCTTACTAACATCATGTAAGGAACCCCTATACCAAAATCCAAATTCCAGGTACTATAATTTTGGCTCTGCGTTGATATATGAGTTTGTCAGGTTTTCCTTTTATTTATATAGAGATTTACGGATGAATATCACTTCTAGTAACGTTTTATGTTAAAATAATATCTTAAATAATAAATTACGTAAATATCTCGTGCTGCCGTGATTGGGTCTGCGGGTCTATGGTGACGGAACGTTGCTCGCCATCATCGTTGGACATCACCACTTGATATGGTACTTTAATCTGAAGAGGCACACGTAGCTTTGTATTCGATGGTGCCTATAACCAAAAAGAGGTTTTTAAATTATAATTTTATATGACGTAGGCTCACATTGCTACAAAAATACCTGTTAAAAAGGCTAAGTTTATATACTTCAGGCTGGGGTCAGACCTGTTGCCTAATTGTTTAGTTTAAAAATGTATCACACAATCACCTTGAAATTGATATATAAAAGTTGTTAATGAAAAATATTTAAAAATCCACTTTGTCCCTGACACTCTGAGATGGGATTCGAACCCATGGTCTTTCGCAATCCGGGCGACTGCCCTAACCACTGAGCTACCCAGGATCTAACAGACTGACGAAATTGTTTTAACCTATCTGAAAATTCAATTATTATGTTTTCATTCTTGCCGTTTTTATCTATACATATTTCTTGTTTTCTGTTTCTATATTTAATATAATTTGTGCTGTCTTTGTATATTTGATCGCCCTTTTTTGATAGTTCAGTCCAACCTTTTCTTTGCATTTATTTTAGTATGTTTTTGTTCTCTGTTTTTTTGCGATTGTGGAGAAATTGTTGGTATTATTATATTTTCTGTATTTTTGGGGTTCCCCATTTTAGTCGGTTCCATTTAACTATTTTTTTTAATAAATTAGGTTAAAAATTTTCGCTACTACAGAGCGTATTTTCATCAATGGTAAGGCAATCCACATCCACAAAATTGAAATGAAAATCAGAAACGTAAACCTGTTTAAATGGCATTTGAAATGGCTTAAGTACGGTTTGTGGCGTGCTTAACTTTAAATTCTCAATTCAGTAACCGGCTGTTAGTGGTAATTTATTAAAAAACATAATGGCCATGTAAAATACATTTTCCTTGAATATTGTCAAGTTACACTTAGGTACTACAATTTTGTTTTTCCTAATACCATGTGCATTTGTATTTTTTTTTTCGTAATTGTTTTTGAAATCTTCGGGGTGTTTTTTGACAAATAAGCACTACTCCAATATGTACATGCAGGACAATGTTAGAACTTTCAGTTTTTTTTAATAGTGGCTTACATGATTCCTGACTGCTTGATTACTGGAGAATATTCTTAATGAAAATTGCGAAAGTGGATTCGGGTCCCATCGCAGAGTACTAGGGCTTGTGGATTTTTTTAAGCATTTTTATAAACATTATTTACTTACATGTATGGTGATCTCTGGTTTGACTTCCTTCCTGGGCACGAGAGCTAGCGGCAACAAGTCGGGCACCTGTTTACGTGGACGGACACGCGAGTGAACCTGCGAGTGTTTCTGGAGGTGATCTTTTCGATAAAAACCTGAAATAAGCATTAGTTATCAGTGCAAATTTAATCCTATTATCTTATTAATATTATAAATGTGAAAGTTTCTTTGTTTGGATGTTTAGATGTTTGGATGTTTGTCGGTCAATCACGCCGATACTACTGAACGGATTTTGATGAAATTTGGTATACATATAGGGTGTTAGCTGACTTATATAATAAGATATATAAGTCAGCTAACACCCTATATAATAGGACTTTTTATCCCACGACGTCGACGAACTGTGACATTAGAACAATATTTAATAGAATTTGTATAGACAAACATGTGACAGGAGGGGAGGGAGGGGGTTAAAATCATGAATTTTGTGTGACGTAATTTATGGACGGCCAATAATAGATCACCCACCTTTCCCGCAGTGCTGGCAGAAGAATGATCTGACTCCTGTGTGTATATGCAGATGTATCTTGTAGTGGTCTTTCCGTTTGAAAGGCTTCGAACAGTACCGACATACGTATACACGCTGAGGTACAGGAATATCTCGTTCATCACGCACCATCAGATAAGATGGCTCGTCCACTGCATCAACGCCATTTGACACCTACATAGATTAACGCCATTATATATCTATATAGATTGACCGCATTGGATACCTATATAGATTAACGCCATTCAATGACGTCACAGCTGAAAATATCACGTGATTGATTATTTTTGCGGAACAATTTAAATAATGAATAAGTATATATTTTTCTTCTATTTAAATACGTTTTTGGAGAGAAATAAATCTGATCGTGGTTTAATCTACATATATACAAAGCAACCCGGACTGATTTATATACCAACGCGCAACCGAAATAAAAACCATAACCTCTTAATAAAAACCATATAATAGGGTTATAATTAGGGTTTTAATTAATAATGTTTTCGTGCACTAATAACTATAATGGCGAAAGTATGTCTTTTTTTTCACGTACTGTCAAGACGAACCATAGTTTGGAAAATATTGCGTAAACTGACCACTGCACGACCATAAATATTGCTTGTCAACTCAACGTTTGATAGCTAAGAACAGTTTGTATGGGAAAATCAAATTGTCGTTTTTAGTATTATACTCGCAATTATGTCATATTTTCTCATCGTTTAAACCTTTCCGGGCCTTCCACGAATATTTCAAGACTAAAATTTGTCAAATCGGTTCAGCCGTTCTCGATTTTTAGCGAGACGTAACGAACGAAAATTCATTTTTATTTATATAGATTACCGATAATCACATTTTTATGGTTATTATTAAGCTAACCTTTATATATTTATGGTAACCCAATCAAATATGGTTCAATACGCTTGTCTTCATTGCCACAACGCTTCGAGGTCGAATAGCACGTTAGCCACGACACGGATTTGGCTTTGTTGACTATTTTTTCGCTAAATGAGCGATTTCAATCTTTGAGCGTAACGCATATATAGAATGACTAGCTTTTGCCCGCGACTTCGTCCGCGTGGTAGTTACTTTGAGCAGCATTCCTAACGAATATTTATTCATTATATCGTGTAAAATACCTGAAATAAAAATTCATCCCCTATTTTATCCCCTTGGGGATAGAATTGATAAAAATCCTTTCGTGGGGGATCCCTACGACATAATAGCTTTATTCATGCAAAGTCTCAGGCCGATCGGTTTAAAATTGACAAAGTTTCATACAAGCTTTCATCCCCTATTTTATCCTTTTGGGGGTAGAATTGATCAAAATCCTTTCTTAGCGAATGCCTACGTCATAACATCTACCTGCATGCCAAATTTCAGCCCTCTCTGTCCAGTGTTTTGGGCTGTGCGTTGAAAGATCACTATGTAAGTCAGTCACCTTTGAGTTATATATATATATATTTAGATAATAGTTCCAGAGGGCCGTGACGTCATAACGACGCCATGACAGAAGTGGCGTTTTTTAAATAGATTTTAACTTATAATATGATACTTTTTAAATGTTTTTTTCCAGATATATTCTATAACTAAAATAAATAAATAAAAAAAGTTGTCTACACCCATATATAATATGGAATCTGACCTTTATTTCCGCATTAGTAGTTGATTCCGTTGGCTCGCTGTTTTCCTTCTTTGCTTCCTGCGGCGCGTCTGTCGATTGGCACAGATCTTCTTCGTTTTGCTCTAAACTACTGTGTGAGCACACGTGTCCTTCAAAATCTTCATTACTATGGAATCCTGAAAAGAAACCACATTGTTTGCTAGAAAGAACTTAGTATAATACTGCAAACATCATTCACATAGGAGTGAGCAAAGAGTAAAGTATAGTGAGCATAGCAAGAATTAAATATTTCATTAAGCCCTGTTCTAGGAGAGGAAGGGGGGCGAGAGAGTCGGCAGAAATAATCAAAAATAGTGTTAAAAAAATGTTGAACGGTCAAACGGACGGACGGGAGGGGTCAGTGGTATTTAGAAAGACGCAACGACAAATTTTTGAAAGAATCGTTCTACTGATTATATCAATGAATATGTTAAAAAACTGATACAATATTCTTGATATAATATTTACATATTTAATCAAAGCTTTTGGTTGTTTTAGTTTTATTGAATTATTAAAGTACAACTCTTTAACTCGCATTAGCGGTGTACTAACGGCGTTAGTATAACACATGATTTCTCAAGCGTGGGGGTCGAGTTTCTTTTTAAAGAGACAAACAGTACAAAAAGGAGTGAATTTTAGTGTATATAGTAATTTTATACTTTTTTTTTGGCTTTTTCGTGGGCGCGACACAAAAATGGTTAAGAAACGATATTATAACAGAAATTTACCTTGAGTGCAAAGTGAACACCAGACCGTGTGTGGTTTCTGCTTTAGATGTACGTTAGCGTGGACTTTCAGATGTTGCTTCCGTTTGAATCGGCGGTGACACACGATACACTCGTGCGGCCGCGACTCGGGGTCATGACCACGACGACGTTCCACCAGCAGATCTTGCTCCATCTGATCGATTAAATCTTTTGGGAACAATTCGTCTAATGGAACTATCCATAAATAAAACAAAGTTTACACTGTTTCATCGCGTTTGTATTTAGTTTTATTCACGTTTCCGACCCTTTCCGAGTTCAAATGAGACTAAGGTGTTCCAAGCTTCAGACTTCAGAAAACCAGAGGATCATTTCTGGTTAAATGCATTGCTATGTTCAATAAAGTTGCACAAAATGTAGTTGACCTACCCATAAATAAATTTAAAATTCATGTAAAGAACATACTTAACATGCTATTATAAAGTTTAAGGATCGCAATGCATGGAATTGATAGCCTTCGCTTTGTTCTATAGTCTAATTATATGTTCAACCTATGTCCTACAGACTTTGAAAGTTGTATTTATTATTGTGATAATACATATTATTTTGGTAATGACATGATTTATGTAAATGTCATTACTTATGATAAAAAGCTGGTAAGTCTCTTTCGCTTGTTCTTCTTGTCAGCTACAAGACGTCCTAAACAAGTGGTAGGGGAAAATTTTTTTTGGACGATTCAAAAGTGCTTGCAATAGCATACTTGAATAAAGATATTTTCATTTCATTTGTTGATTGTATTTTTATTTAAGAGCATAACTTCCTTCAAACCAAAAGATACAGTTAGTTCATTCTGTAAATATTAAATCAAAGGGAGCAATTGACTTCAGTTCTTTTCAGACAATACTCCCAAATTTGGAACTGGTGGTAGATTAAGATAGCCGGACGTAAATAAATAAATCAAATGTAATTTTTTAATTATTTAATTTAATAAATGTAAACGTGGCCATAAAATATATTCATTTTTATATAGTGAATGTGTCCGATAGTATTGTTTTGAAGGTAGCTATACTCTTAATTATAATGACAATCAACATCTTAGTTTTATGTGAACACGGAACCTGTAAAAGGTCCGAAACATCAATAGAATTTCCTTTTGCTTGGAAATTCCGGGAAATGGTATTTGGTATAGGAACGTAAGTAAAATACGTTACCATAATCTGGACAATGTATTGTTTTTATATGTAGTATCTATTATTCGAACTAAGGTGAATAATAAGAAAAATAATGCAACTCTAGACAATAAAGTTTTTATTTATGTATTATACAGCGTGTTTGGTAATACCTGTATAATCCCGAAACATGGCCATACAACCTAGCACAAAGAACACAATTGATAGGTCAAAAAACAATTTCATGTAAATTGATATTTTCATACAAATATTTGAACAATTTGTTTTCAATTACTATGCTACAACCCTGTAAGCTTACACGTGCCGTCCCGGCGCACTCGCTCTTTCTCTCTCTCTCTCTCTCTCTCTCATTACCTCTCACTCTCTCGTTTCCTTGAATACATTTTGATGTTGCCGACGCGCGCACTCGACTACGTATGAGTTTACTTGTAATTAAAACAATTTAAGATTAAATAGGTACATACCTATAGCGTTCTAATCACTCTTGTCAGGCTTTCACTTGTCAACATTACCTACACTTCACCTCCACTTTATCAGTCCAGGGTCTCGATATGCCGGCCACCGCATAAAACACACATCTCCATTCGACTCGACACAGACCGTGTCGTGTTACTCTCGACGTAAAGTCATATCCTCTGTCTCGATGGAATAGGTGATCGGCCGGCCTACCTGTGGCACACTATGGAATGAACCAGTTGTATGTAACCAATTCACAAATGCCGCGAATCACCGGTAAGAAGGAAGACGTCGATGGTTTTCAGGTCTTCCTGACACGTGGCGCTCGTCATAACGCCGCCGAGCCGCAGCAAGATTACCGTCACAAGCACCGCCACACATTATCATCTCGTAATATTAGGCATTTGAGTACGAATTCATTGCACTGACCGCACACAAACATAATACACAGGTAAACAGAACGAGAATGAAAAACAAACCAAAAGTCCCGAAAGAACGAAAACGTAAGTTGACCTTCTAAATTCTGAAAACTCACAAGTACGCCGATGAAAGTCACGGACGCGACTGACGCGATGACCAAAACTACATAGGTTATTATTATTGCAACTCGAACACCAATGTACCTAAATCAAAAGTGTACCGATTTTGGGGTTCCGCGTCAAGAAATATTATTTATTATTAGACCTTTCCATTACAACTAACCTTTATTTAATTATCATTTAAACTAAGAATAAGAGAGATACTTAGATTATTAATATCATTGTATAAGTCCGTATTTTATTGTTTCGTGAAAATAACACGGCTTTATGAAAAAAATAACAAAACTTCAAAGCAAATAATCTACAGAACCTTACTGACACATCAGAAACCCGAGTTTCTCAATACACATCGTCGTCGATTTTATGTCTCTCTCGCTCCTTCTTGCATAGACTAATGTGAGCAATGGTGCAGATATTGAACTTCAATCAAAGTATTTGCAATTTCTTTTTTATTTTGACTGTATTATTACAGAAGTTTTCATATTAATAGTTTTTGAAACACCGTTAATCACAAGATTAGTGTTTTTTTATAGTTAAAAGTCATTTACTACTAACTTTTTCTTTGTTTGGAAATAATAAATTCCTCTCAGATGCATATTTATTCTAGGCATTTATCTTTAGATTTATTTAACTTCTGTTATTTTTTAAACTAGTTCGGCACATGGAGTCGATGACCAAATACAACACAACAGCTGTTTTTAGGGTTGTCAGCGTACAGTTTTACTTCGAAGAAAAAAAGCTGAATATCTAGGTCATGTGCTGGGTTTCAGTCTTAGTGATCATTTTTCTGGGTTCTATTCATCATACCGTATGTGCCATATTCGGGATTATACAGGTATTACCAAACACGCTGTATATATTTTTACATATAAATTTGTTGTTTTTATGACAAATTGATTATAGGACTTATGATATCATTTCAGGAACTCTCATGGTAACATTGTGACAAACGATCAGGTTTTAGAGGAGTGTCTTTATTGTATACTAGCTTTCCGCCAGCGGCTTCGCCCGCTCCCTAGGGAACTATTTAGTAGGATAAAAGTATCCTATTATCTAAGTCAGCTAATACCCTATCGGTATACCAAATTTCATCAAAATCCGTTCAGTACTTTTGGCGTGATTGACGGACATCCAAACATCAAAACAAAGAAACTTTCACATTTATAATATTAATAAGATTTCTAACAAAAAAAAAAAATAGCAACACTCTTTTGAAATCGTTAAGTAACAATATCTTACTCTCCTTGTTGAATAAATAACTATTATACAACTTACCATCGGATTATAATCCTCTGAGCCGTCTCCGTCGCCAGCGTGGTCTGATTGGAACTGCTTTAGGTGCACCTGAATGCAGACCCTCATGTGCGCTTTCAACTGCTCCTCCTTGTGGAACCCTGAAATAATGATGATATTAGAAATTAAACATTTATGCTAAAAATATTTATAAACGAACCTTTAACCTCATATGACGAAATCTGAACTGGCGAGAAAGCAATATTCCGGCAATAAAACACGTTAACTCGCTCTAAAATTAATTAAAATAATTTTTCATAACGTCATTTAGCTATGTAAACAAACCAAATGGATTTGTTATATTATGTATTTAACAGATTAAAATATATCAACCATATAAAAAAAAAGAGTCATCTAACGATTTGCTATAAAATAAAATTATATAAATAAGAAAAGAATATCGCCATCTAGGGCTCAACTATAAAATTAATAAGTAGCTTTTAACGGCTGATCTAGCAGATTCAGAAATATTTTTGCCGACATAACGTCAGATCATGGAGTCGGGTAACAGTAAAAAGAAAAAAAAACAACGCTTAAATTTTATTAGCAGAGGTCGGAATTAGGTAGAGTTATTTATGTACTTGCATCGAAATGTTGATATTAATGTGGACCTTTCCGGGATTTCTTTATTTCTTTCTTTCATTGATGTAAGTTTGGCAACGTCGTGCGTGCAGTAGTTTAAATTGTGTAAAAGTAAATAACTTTTTATTTAAAAAATCATGGGATTTTTTCTGTTCTTTAAAATTAATCTCGGGATTTGAGGCATATCCACTTTATTCTTTCGCTGTATGAAATCAGTGTTTATTAGTCATATTAGCTGTGTTTATTTAATTTCTCTCTATTTTCATAATTTAGACTGTTACTGCTATTGATGAGAACCCTTTATTAATTTAATAATTTATTAAATCAATACAAAAGTATCCATAAAAAAGAATCCGTATTCAGTTTTTCTGTCAGATTTCTAAAAAAACTCAATTGGTGTAAGCATTCCAGCGCGTCTCACTCGCAATAATTGTTTTTTTTTGTTTGATTAATTAAAATCAGCTCAGTACTTTTAAAGATATAAACTACAATATAAAAGTTTAAACAACTTCAGTAAACATATTCATTAATCAGTAATAAAATAAGGTAAACAATAATTTTCCCTTAAATATTTTTTTCTTGCATTAAACAAATTTCCAGCTGTAGGCAACTCTGACTGAGTACTTAGATAAAGGCTAGCGAAAATGGAAAAAAAAGGGATTTGTCGGCGCCTCCCAGATACCAGGTAGTCGAACCCCCCCTCGACGGGAGCCCTACGCAGACGCGCACATGACCCGAAAGTTTTTTTTACATTCTTAGCAGGTAATGGAGCATCATAATGCGGCCAGTAAATGGCAAAGATTATCTAAACTTTCCAACAACATACACCGACTGAGATAAATCTATACTAATATTATAAAGAAGAAAGATTTGATTATTGTATGTTTGTTTGCGCTTAATATGCTCCGAAACTAATGGGCACACCTAAAACCAACTTTTAACATTACGATATATTTTGTTAAGCTCAGTTATATTAAATATTAGTAACTAACGAGCTATTAAACTACTATCCATAGAGATGCTCAGTGAATTTTTAAATGAAAATCCGACCAAATACCAAATAAGTTTCCATTACAATCCAGGGGGCCAATTCGAATCGAAAACGGATCGAAACCGATCGAAACTACAGTTTTTAATGGTTTTCCTATTCTACAAAGTGACATACGATACAATTACAGTTCTATTTTAGCTGGAATTATATCGTATGTCACTTAGTAGAATAGAAAAACCATTAAAAACTGTAGTTTCGTTCGGTTTCGATCCTTTGTCGACCCGTTTTCGTTTCGATTTAAACAAAATTTATTTAGTAGAATTGGCCCCCGGCTATCAATTGACCAGTAAAACATAGAACTGTATTTATTACTTCATCTGACTTTTAGCACTAGTACTATGATAGTAATCTTAGGCGACATTACCTCACCATGTAACCATTTTTAATTTTTTGTAAAAAAATCGATAAATATAATTGCGTCATTTTAAAATTAAATTTATAGATTTCACTTTTTTTACTACTGCCTTCACTGAGAATATCATCGAGCTTTATATTTTTTTGTTAAAGGTATTTCATAATATAAAACTATGTTCACATTGAAATAGATTTAATATCCCATAATAAAGTCTAGTTTCATAAAAATATCTGGATATATACAAACTTTTCAAGGATATGGTATCTAGTTCACAGCTTAAACAACTCGGGTGTACTAGTGGGAATAACGGCAGTTAAAGTAAAGGTTTATGTCAAATATCTGTCACGCTGTCTTTAACTTAAACCGTGTAATGGTCTCCTACGTGAAGTTGGCAGTATTGTGGTGACGCAAAGTGCCATTAGACCTAAGAAGAAGACCGCGGAATGCGATGCACCATCCTCTTTGTTGGCTTATTAAAACAATAACCAGCAAAACTTACAGCCAGTTGCACAAACGACGATTAAAATCGTCATTAGTTTAAAGTGACATTACCGTTACATTTATTAAAGCTTAAAGGCGTAATTAAATCTTAAAGGCCGTTTGTGCAACTGATCCGTAGGTTATAGTTTACAGTTAAAGTTATGACGTCATCCAACCATTGATAAATGATAAATTATTATATAATTTGCTTAAGCAATGTGTTAACCCATACTTTAACATGTTTGTTATTGTTAAAGTAAGTTCGTGCAACAAACCCTTAAATACATAGTGGAACTACTAGGACAAAAACGTCTCATTAGTTGGATAGTTCAACTTTTGAAGTAACGAGAATATAGTGGGAACGAATGGATTAGAGACATTCAAGAATATTGATAGTTCTAATAGTCTAATTTTATTTTAATGTTATTTTCATACGAAAATAGCTTATTAATATAATTAGCAACATCAATACAAACATTCGCAAACAAACCTTCCATGTTATACAAAATCAAAACACCCAAGTTTTATTAATCAAACAAAAATACCGTTGCGTTTAAAGTATTCCCCCCTTTCAAAGTCTAAAAATAAAGGAGCGTTTGTATGTGGCGTTCGTTCGCCCCCCGCGGACAGCCGTAACACATCTTTCCTTGGATCCCACCCTCCATTTTTTTTGCAGTAACCAAATGTAACACGCCGTAGCGCACCCCACATAAAAACCAGTACCTTCCCTACTACACGACACCCCAATTTCAAGGGACCAAGTTAAACTATAATGTGCTTATACATTCCTGTATTAATATTAGTTTACAAGTTTAAAGTCACGATTTTGTCATTACTATGACAGAGTTGAACTGAAAGATATCATAAAATGAAGATTTAACTTATACAGGACCACGCGGGCGAAACCGGTAGCGGAAGGCTATTAGGTTAATTAATTTATATAGATATTTATGATAATTACAATAAAAAGAGCAAACAAAGTGCAGTTAGAATAAAGAATATCTATTTTGTATCTTAGATTATTTAATTATAATCTAAGTTTTGAACCTCTACACTAATATTTTTATGAGCAAATATTTGTTTATTGCATTAAATAGGCTCTAATAGATTTTTAAAAACAAAATCACCTACAGGAAGCTAGCTACATCATACGCTGGCGACATAATTATGATATAATAGGGATGACGACTGGGTAAAAAAAATGCAATTCTATTTAGTCCGTCAGTCAGATAATAGAAAAATATTAGATACGTATTTTTTTCTTACTTCAATTTAACAAGAAATAGCTTAGATAACAGGCATTAAAGTTGAGGAGTGGGGGCTCGCTAAGTCACAATTGAGTAGAAAACGTACCATAACGTGACGTCATGCGAAATTTCAACTCCATTTAACGCCGTAATTTTATGATTACGAAAAAAATAAAAAAATACGTGTTTAATATTTTTTAACACTCTACTCGACGGACATACAAACAAAAATTAGTCATCATCCCTATTTACGCGGGAAAACAGCTAGTAGTACTAATCCAATGTATTGAATGATTTGTCTCTAAACGGAACCGTTTTCAACATAATGCTGAATATAAAGATTAGTTATTATTTGCTTTATATAGTATAGGGTTGGAGTGGAAACGTTTTTTGTCCTTGACGCACCCAAACACTGATTTGTATGATGTTCAGTATATATCGGTAATTACAATGATAAAATCCACACTGGGACATACACTTAGTGATACACACTTATATAGAATGTTTCTTCCAAGTAATTAACGATTTTTTAGACGTAATTTGCAGAAAATCTATAATAGCTTATATTTATAGGTATTTCTGATATTTTCCAAGAAAAATACTTACCATAAATGAGATAATGAAATAATTTATTTTATTAAATATGAATTTCAAATGTATTAAATAATTCTAATATTATAAAAAGGAAAGATTTGATTGTTAGTTTGCATTGAATAGGTTCCGAAAGTACAGGACCTATTTTAGTATTTTTTTTTTAATTTACGGGAAGCTACATCATATTATACAAATAGGCTAAAATTTACACAGGCGAAGTCACGGGAAAACAGCTAGTAAATTATAAACATCATCAATATTAAAACTAAGTACGTAGCGGAAAGCAAACAGCGACGGCTAGACCAAGAATGACATTTTCTTTTAAATATTCATAGAAATCCGTGTAAGGTTTTATGAAGAGAAGAAACTGAAAAATTGAAAGGAAAATAAGGTGGGCACCGCGCTTGAATGATTTAAGTTTGTCGCGTTCAGACAGACATACGAACAGACGCGATAGCCCTGTCATATTTTATAAGACGTTTCAATATTAATAAATGATAAAATAATATTAAATAACATCATATTCTTTGCTCAAATTCCAAAATGTATTTTGGAGTATCTGAGATGTATAAAAAATAATTTTCTACAGTGAACAGACCGGGAATCAAACCCGGGATATGAGGACACCTTGAAACCGGCGCGAACCGGCTACGGAGGTCGTCATATATTGTTATAGATTTGTAAATTTATCTTATTGGTGTTTGTTACCTGTGGCTTCGATTATAAGTCATTAATTAAAAGTTTGTAAGGCAAAAATATCGTTAAAAAAGGGTAATATAAAGACAAGCGAAGCACCATTGCTAACGTAGAGAAATAAACATACAAACACACTTCTACATTTATATTATAGTATGGACGTGTGTAACCTGAAAACATGAACCGTAGCTAACCGTGTTCGCTCCCAAACTTAAGCTGGTTTAGCATAGTGGGAATAATTTAAATGGGGGTTGGGAGCGCGCGTATATGGAACCCCTTTAAGCCCATATCCCCTTTACCAGTAATACATACCACCCTATCTTCCATCGCACGCCGGTGGCGAATAATCGCCGATCGATGTAAATTATCGATCGTACGTTATACTTACATATTTAGTAATTGACCCAGTAACGTTTATTTATACTACTCGTATTGTTTAGTGTTGTTTATAATATTATGCCCTCATAAGCCAAGAAGAGGTTTCTAAAAAAACGAATAAGTTAAACGATGTAATAATTTAATTATATATATTTTTAATAATTTTGGCTTACGAGAGCAGTATTTATGCTCTCAATTTTGAATATATTCCCTCCAATTTCTTGGGGAATAAAAAAAAAAGTTTAAAAAATGCGCATTTATCCAGTCACTCGCGTGTTTTGCAATTACCACACATTTACTGATTTATTGACATTATAGTATTTATATTACTAGTATAATCTATGGCTATATATATGAAATATAATTATATTGTGAATTCCATTGGAGTAAAGCTTTTAGATATAAACTACTTTGAAATTTATGACGTCCCTTTTATACTAACTTGAATGAAGTCTCGGTAATTCTCAAATTGGATCTTGAAGTATAACGTAACTAAAAAGAGATTATTTTAATGTGCATAAAGTATTTTTTCATAAACAAAACAACAGCTGCGTATTAAGAGGAGGCAGGCGTACAGACAAATGAGTATCCCTGTCTATGGCAATGAGATAGACAGTGACAGAGGATGGAAAACTTAAAAAAGTGAAAAATAATACTTATCTTCGGTTGGCTGAGGTTTTCTGTAGTTAATTAAATAATAACCGTCCGTTTCTTAAAAATATTAACCCATTTTGAGATAAGTATTACTATTCACTTTTTTAATTTGAAGTCGGTTCCATTTTTTTATAAGTTTTTATTTCATGATTTTAGTGATATTTTGAGTTTTGGGGTAATAAACATCACAGATACTTAATGCAAATTTAAGACTTATATGGTTTTCTCATTGCCAGATCTGAACCAAATAAAATGGGACCACACGGTAAGCACTAGCTTTCTAATAAAGAAAGAATCATCAGAATCGGTCCACCCAGTAAAGAGTTACGACAAACAGAAAAAATACGGTCGAACTGATAACGTCCTCCTTTTTTAAAGTCGGTAAAAAACTGTTTTTAATTAATTACTGGCAATATATTGTGAATAAGTAGGTACATCTATAGTAATATAGGTTGCCTGGAAGAGATCGCTGTTTAGCGATAAGGCCGCCTTTTGTGTACTCTGTATTGTTTTACCGTGTAATTTCGTTTTGTTTTCCTGTCTGTATGAGTGCAATAAAGATTATATTATATTTCTTTCACTTAATGGAAACTACATCATACGTGGTTGACATAGGCTATAATTTACAAAGGCGAAGTCGCAGGAAAACAGACAGTTTAATAATAATTATAATGAAAATGAACACATGCATGCTACTCACTGGCGTATTGACACCCGCTGAGCGTGGGGGTAATGACCCGGTGTCCCCATGTAATTGGGGATACTTCCCGTACAACGCACTGGTACACTCTCACGATAGAAGACAGAAATACAGCCAAACGAATTACATTTAAAAACGGATTTCATAAAAACGCGAAAAAAATAAAAAAATAAATGGTGATATTGGCACAACATAAAGGTAATATTATATTTTTTAAATCATAGTAAAACAAAATCGCGATTTTCTGTTGATTTAGTAAGTAGTATTTTTGTTATTTGGCAGAACGTTTCCAATGCATAAGTAATTTCTAGAAAGATTTGTATGTTTATCTGTATCGAATAGGCACCGAAACTACTGAAATTCGAAAATTATTTCACCTACGGGGAGCTACATCATGCGCGGATGATTTAACGCGAACGAAGTCGCGGCAAAGCGCTCGTTTTGTTATAAAAACAATACTGCTTTTCTACCACAATAACATCAGGCCCATACGATTTTGATTAGAGAAATAATTTTGAGACATACACATCGAACACAAAAAGATTTAGGAATTAAAATCGATAAAAAAATATTTTATACGAAATGAATTTAAAAATTTCTTTGTCCCATCCAATATTTTGTCTTTACGCCCAGCCTTAAGATATACTGATTATCTGCACGTTATAAGCCAATCATTGAGACATATATACCTATACAGATGGTATTGTATGAAATATAATCTGCAAAACATTGAAAATTAAGAAATTCATGTTTTAGCCCAATTAGACTAATCCTATACGTAAAAATAATAATAAGATTTATTTCTCTCCACATACTTTTCATACATAAGATGCAGTATTCTCGTTATAAGCTTTATTTCTTTGTTCGCAGTAAATTTAAAAAAATGTTTTTGTCTAGTCGCCATTTCAACGTTCTGTACAATGTAGAAATTAACTAAAATAATTTCATCACATAATGTTAACCGGACGTAATATTCCTAGCCAAATCGATATTTCTGTGAAAGCAAACACCCATCGCCCATGTATTAAGGAGGGTCGGAGCCGGCTCAGCGACCTTTCCTGGCCCCCTAGTCCCACGTCGTCCCGTGGGCACGGGGAGGGGTCGATCCAGGGGTACTAGACTGGGGACGGACGCTCGGAGATCTAATTTATTTTCGGATGGAGGGTTACCCGAATTGTGGGGATGCTCACGATGCCGACGGCTCTTTGTGACGTAATATTCTAAAATTTTTGGTGAATCATGAATTCGGTATAACTACACACACACACACACTAGTGTTTGTTAAGGATATCTGTTCCGCCTTGCCTCGGTTTATATTGTAAAGAATTTACCAAAATAATAAATGTATTCCACTCTGAACATGATTTCAAGACAAGTTATGTTGTAATTTAGTCCAAAATTCTTGGCGGAAAATTTTAAGTATTTTATAAAAAAAGTAATTAATAAAACCTTTGTTTAGTATTTAATTTTCCTAATTTGTCCTACGTTATACTAGTTTAATTTTTTTTTTAATTTTAATACTCATTTATTTAAATTCATAATAATATACCCAACTAGCTGTATTGTTAAAAACCCACCCCTGTCCTATTCTAATCAACTTCAATTCTACATACAATGGTTGACTGCAAGAGGTCAGTATTTGGCGATAAGACTGCCGATTATGACAATAAGTTTAATTTTGTTTTTGTTTTGCTGTGTCTTAATATTTTGGTGTTTACAATATAGTTTTATCTTACCTTTCCCACAATCGGTGCAGACTTTATCCTTCTTCGTGTGCGTCCAACTGTGTATCTTGAGGTGATCTTTTCTTTTATACGACTTGAAACATATTTGGCATACGAACGGTCTGTCTGTATGAACGTCCAATGTTCTTACGTCAGCAGGATCCGATAAGGAATCACTGTTTTGTGAAGAGTCCCGCTCCTAGAAAATAATAAGTGTATGAGTAAGATGTGATATGAAAACTTAAATAAATGCATTTGTGACGTAAAAAGACATAATTAACCACAAGCCTTTCTTAGAATCACCCGAAATAAACATATTAGTCAACCTTGTCACTTATAAAAACTTCTGTATAGAGGTCTATACCTTCGGTCGGTTCGGTCTTACCGCGACATATGATTAAGTTGGTACTTATTAGTTACATTAATTTAAAACAACGTTTCGGAAATTAAGACGTCAACTTCGCAGCGCACAATGACTAACTTTCAACTGGTTTTGTACAAAGAAAAAAAAATGTCCAAATATTTTTTTTTAATAAAGTAATTAAACATGAATTAAAAAACTCGATAGTAAAAAATCAAAAAGTTCATACATGAAAAAAATGATGAATTATAGGCCAAAATTTTCGTAATTATACTCTTTTTTCTATAAGTACATAATTTTGCTAAAAGCTTGGTTTACTTAACAATATTTTACAATAATCAAAGTCGTTTGCGAGTAAATTTTTGAAAATATCTTTTGACGCGCAATACGCCTTAGTCTATCCCATTATTCCCCTATAAAGAGTATGTATAGTTGAAAACAAGAAATGGAAAAAAAAATGAATTTATGCTTTTTTCTGTGATTAAAAATGTATGACATCAAACGGGCGCGTCTTTACTCTCGAAACGTATTTGTATGGGAACGTAAGACGAGGTACAAGAGTGCCTTAACTAACGTAACCGATAAAAAAGCCTCTATTAGGGATGATGACTGGGTAAAAAAAATGCAACTCTATTTAGTCCGTCAGCCAGATAATAGAAAAATATTAGATACGTATTTTTTTTTTTACTTCAATTTAACAAGAAATAGCTTAGATAACAGGCATTAAAGTTGAGGAGTAGGGGCTCGCCACGTCACAGTTGAGTAGAAAACGTATCCTAACGTGACGTCATGCGAAATTTCAACTCCATATAACGCCGTAATTTTGTGATTACGAAAAATATAAAAAAATACGTGTCTAATATTTTTTAACACTCTACCTGACGGACAAACAAACAAAAATTAGCCATCATCCCTATTTGCACGCGATGCTACCTCAATGGCTACGGAAACGAATGGAAGCGACTTGTTCCAACGAAATTGTACATAGCATAATGAACTTTATGTCAATTGTATACCATAAAACTGAATACAGGTGTAAATCGAGCCTTAGAGGTCTCATCGTCGAGGAGACAACTATTTTTTTTTTTAATTGATGGTAGATCGATGAAAAATATTTTGCGTAATCATTAAATTACAGCGATACGTTGAGTTAAAATGTCACATGACATCACGCTTTTGTACATTTTCTACAAAACTGTGACGTAGCGAGCCCCTTTACCTTTGCAACTTTAATGTCTGTTATCTAAGCTATTTATTGTTAAATTGAAGTAAAAAGAAAATACGTATCTTATATTTTTCTATTATCTGACTGACTAAATAGAATGTCTTCATCCCTTTCGTAGGCACTCTACACACTAGGTGACGTCATTTATGATGCCATAATTACGTCAGAAGAGCCTTCCCAACTCTGTTACTAAGAACTGTAGTAAGCTTTAATATTCATAGCATAAGTTGATTTTAAAACTTTTCATTACTTTTGGTTATTATGTAGAATTTGATTTAATGAATCATTATAAAATGATCACTCGCTATCTCATTAGTGATAAAGGTTTAAATTATTCTGAAAGGTCATTTAATATTTTTCGAAAAATTGTGTAAATGAATTTCAGCTGATTGTTGAAGATGCCAGAAGAAAAAAATAAGACCACTTCATAATATGTTGCTTACTTCTTGTGTATAATATCAAAGTACGAAATTTGGTCAATAACACATGATAAAATGTTTTTTTGTTTCATAAATGATTGAAAGTATAATAAACAAAAAAAAAGAGTATATATCCATTCCATGTTTCTCACTTCACACACAAAGATGTTCACAAATAATCAAAATCAAACATATCAGACTGCAATATAATAGTTTAATTTTAAAATCTATTGCAAACTCTTTTAAAGGTGTATTGTAATATTTATTTATGAAATTATATAACTTTTGAAATTAATGATGGTTTGAATGATCAAGAAGCATACATAATGGGGCTTTAGCTACTCATCTTGGAATCTGAGCAATGTAAGTGATGTTGTTAAATATTTATTATTAAAAATATTTTACTATTAAAAATATTTTTATTTTATTATAATAAAAAATTAGTTAAATCCATCAAAAGATTGCAGTAAGCATTCAACTTTTTTGTTTAATATTTCACAATATCTTTCAATAATTTATCACTCTATTTGTCAATTCTGATGGACGTCAAATAAACAATACAAATAATTCAAAAACTTCACTATTTATTTATTTATTTATTTTGGGAAGACCAACAGCTATAACAAATACATAGCGATTAAATAGACTATAGGAAGCCATTTATAGGTCCACACAGATGATAAACATAAGACTATCACAATCAATATCATATGTGGAACAGTTATAGCATGAAGTTCATGAACATTTTTCATATATCAAAATGAAGGAGAATGATAGATTTTAAAATTAAGACAATTAAGCACCAAGTGCTCCCTGTTCTTTTTTGTTATTACATTGAACAAGTTACCAACAAGATTCCAAATTTGCAATATCTAGAAAAGATTATTAAATAAAAGCTATCAAAGCTTTCAAGAAACTTGGTCAAATAAATGTTTCTTTATGTGTTTACCTCAATATCACACTGCATATCCTCACCCAAGATATCTGGTTTCTCATCCTCATCCATGACTTCAGCTTTGATTTGCGTCAGTTCATGTTCTCCAACAGGATACATGTTCTGTTCCAGAAATAACTTGCTATGAGTTTGTAGGTGTTTCTGCAAGTGGTCTTTACGGTGGAATGCTGAGGATAAAATACTTGTTAATACATATATACCAGTTTTATACGTCTAGGTTAAGAAATAAAAGGTTCTATTTCTTACATCCAGTAAGCACAATCATATTTTAAGATTATTCAAGTTATTATGAAGTCAATACAAACAGTATAAAAATATACTGGAATTAAAATTTTTCACTGACATCTATTGCATAGAGAGCAGACTTGTGACTTGTCATCAGTGTGGATACTCTGGTGGATGTTCAGGTGTTCTTTGCGCTTAAAACCTTTACCACATGTCTGGCAAACATGTGGCCTTACTTGCTGATGCTCCATCGTATGCCTATCTAAATGCTCCTTACGTTTCAATCTAAAATAATGGAACATGATTAAAGCTATCCTGTCTTTCTATTAAAACGCATATTATAACTTAATCGAATAATAGAATTTTAAGCAACATACTGGTAATAATAAAATGTAAAAAAGTATTGAAATGTTAATACAGAGTTGACAAATTATCTTTATGATAAAGATTTAAGCACTGTTATTACTATTCTAATAGAATCTCACCCGGTTCCACATATTCCACAGAGGAACCTATATTCTTTATTATGCATACACAAGTGAAATTCTAATTTCTCTTTTTCCTCATATCTAGCAGGGCATTCCACACAGCAGTATTGATTCTGTCCATTGCTGTCTTTCAAAATAATTGCCAACTTATTTCTGGAGATAAGGCTCTTCTTCAGAGCATATTCCATTAAATTTGGATCCATTTCTGAAAAAGGGTTTCCAGATTTTATACATTTAACCTAACATTGAAGATTGAAAATAAATTAAAAATATTTTAAATTACACATTTACCTTCAACAAGTCCACTGACCAACCCCATACTATCACTCATAATTTACACTTCTTGTTAAAACAGTTCTTATACAGCTCACTGGTTTCACAAAACTTTCATGGAACTTTTAACACGTTACGACTGCGCGCTGCGAGCAGAGAGTTTGAAAAGAAAAAGAAGTGTTCACGATCGCTAGCTAGTCCCTACCCCTATAATACCATTTATGTTCATATAACGTTACCGGTTGGTCGCCGGAGGCCAAAGCTCCCCTCCGCAAAGGTAGGGTGAACTACGCTTTGTCTGCAGTATGTATCCCCTACAAGAGGGGAGGGGACCCCACTACAACCGTTAGGTAGGGTGGGTTTTACTTTCCTTACCCTTATGTTGTATCTGTAACTAGAATTAACTAACACAATATTTAAAACCAAATTTTTTATGAGATGATTTATAGCATAATAATGAAGATTTAAGTAAATTGTAGAATTAACTCTATCGCCAATTTCCGAACCAAGGTGGAACCGAGTTCCAAACAGTATAATATTGTAATCTTTGGTTCCAAACATTCTTTTCAAACATTCTTTGTTACATTCCAAAGAGAAAAAATGTAGAGACGAAACTAATGGTGTGCGAAATTGATTAATCGATTTTTCAAATAATCAGTTGCAATCGATTATTATTTCATAATCAACGATTAACCATCAATTATTTCTTTAAACGTTATCATAGGATTACTTTAAAACGTTAGTATAGTACCTACTCACTTTACTTCGATGGATCAGCAACCGATAGCGGATCGCGAGTGTGAATATTATTAGTAGATATTCTAATACTTGTTATGGCAATCCTGGAATACTCCCACGAACAAATAGGTAACTTTACTCTTTGGTCGGGGAACTCTCGATGGATGAATGAACGAATCTTACGGTTATATTTTACCAAATACAAATTAACCGTTTCTTACTAAATGCACATGTAAGTATACACGGTACATACCTATACCAAATAATATTTTTTACAGTTTTTGTCTGTCTGTTTGTTCCGGCTAAATTCTGAAACGGTTAGACCAAATTTGACGGGACTTTCATTGGCAGATAGATCTTGTAATAAGGAATTACTAAGGCTACTTTCTACGCAGACGAAATCGAGGGTACATAAACAATAAAACACACATACTAGGAACTACTTTGTATTACCACCGCCGTGGTTCAAAAACGCGACCATCAGTATTTCATAAGGCTAACAATTATATAAAATAATAGAAATAAAGTTACTACCGCGATGCCAAATCGCACAACGTCATCTATTGATGGACGTGGGAAATCTTACATCTATATAAGAAAATAATGAATTTGAACATTCCGCCCACCAAGGACTTGTCCTTCAGTTTAAACAATATTTCATTCAAAAAATATTAGTAATTACGAGTTTTTATAAAATGCTACACACTATTCTAACATTAAAAATAAGTATAGTTCAACAGATTCCGCCCACCGTGACAAAATGTGGAGTTAAAAATAAAACTTTTAAATTCGAAACAATAAAACATGAAAAAATGAAAAAATAAAAACAGTCACTTTTAGTAGAGAGATAAAAAATGTAAATAAACTTGGAACAACACATCTTATTTAGGCAAAAGACAAAGCTTACTTACAGGGCGCTTTAACAATTTATCTTTACATTTTATAGTGACTACTCGTGTGACATTATCTTTGCCAGTATGTTTTTGTACAATTCTACCAAGAATCCATTTAGTAGGAGGCAAATTCTCCTCACGTATTACAACAACATCATCAATATCTACTTCAGATTTTTTTATACTCCATTTATATCTTTTATCTAAGTTTAATAAATAGTCTTTAGACCAACGCGACCAAAAATCATTTGTCATTTTTTGAACTAGTCGCCATCTATCTAATGTAGTTACATTTTTGGTTTCGTTACAGTTAAAGTCATCACATATGTTAATAAGTGGTTCACCTACCAGGAAGTGGCCAGGTGTTAACGGGAGAGGGTCTATAGAATTATCACTTAATTGACTTAACGGACGCGAATTAAGGCATGATTCAACTTGGATTAATACAGTAGATAGCTCTTCGTAAGTCAATGTATTATCACCTATTACCTTTCTTAAATAAGTTTTGGTTGAACGTATTCCGGCTTCCCACAACCCACCGAAATTGGGACTGTGAGGTGGTATATAATGAAACGTCGTCCCTTCCTGAACTAACAGTTCCGCTATCTCTTGAGGCATTCGAGATTTCGCTGTATCAAATATTTCTCTTAATTCCCTTTCTGCGCCAACGAAGTTAGTACCGTTGTCGCAGTAAAGATCCAAACAACGACCTCGACGTCCAACAAATCTTCGAAATGCGGCAATAAATCCTTTTGAAGTTAAATCGGATACGGCTTCAATATGGATGGCTCGAGTCACCATACAAATAAATAGGCATATGTAGCCCTTGTAGGATTTTGCTCCCCTTCCTGGAGAAAATTTAATGTTGATTGGTCCTGCATAATCAACACCAGATGATTTGAAAACTTTACTTGGATGCAAACGCACCTCGGGTAATTGACCCATCAAAGGAGTATTCTTTCTTTGAGAATATCTGATGCATGTGACACAACGTCGAAAGTATTTTTTAACTTGCTGTCTAGCGCGTATTATCCAAAATCGGTTTCTTAGGTAAACAAGCATAGCTTGAGGGCCGCCGTGCATTGTCGATTTATGTGCGTCATCAATAACGCTTTGGGTAAGATGACTTATTTCAGGCATTATTAACGGATGTTTTTCATCGTAACTTATATTTGCCATTTCGATGCGGCCACCCACTCTCAGAAGCCCTTTTGCATCTAAAAAGGGATAGAGAGAATACAGTGCACATTTCTTAGTTACACTTCCGTATAATTTTAGTTGTTTAATTTCTTCTCTAAAATTCAAATCTTGAACTTGTTTAATACATACTTCCAAAGATTCATTTATTTCCTTCACAGTAATAAAATTTGGATACTTTTCTTTATCTGATGAAACTTTTGTTTTTACATTTAACCATCTTCTAACATATGACACAATTCCTAACATCTTTCTCAGTGATGAATATTTGCTCCATATAAATTCCTTTTCCTTTTCTAATATCCGTTTGTTTATGTCACTTTTCTTTTCCGTAAAAAAAGTCATGATTCCCGACGATTTGCTTGTCCTCATTTCTTCTTCGGTATTGTACTGTAATGTGGGTAAATCAAAAGTATGTTGATGAAGCCATGCAGGCCCTTTCCACCAAAGGTTTTCTTTCTTTAAGGCTGACGGTTGTAAACCTCGAGAAGCACAGTCAGCGGGATTCATTTTTGTGCTTACATGTCTGATTTGATCGCTATCTAAAATATTTAGAATATCAGATACACGATTGCTAACAAAGGTGGTCCATCGTGATGGCAATCCACGTAACCACGCCAACACAACAGTTGAGTCTGACCATGCAAAAAGTCTTTCTTTTGGCACTTTCATAACTTGCGAAACTTCATACAATAATTTTGTTGCCAAAACTACGCCACAAAGTTCTAATCTGGGAATCGAAAGTTCCTTCTCTATTGGCGCAACTTTAGTTTTTGCAGTTATAAGGTTTATGTAAACGTCACCATTTTTATTTATCACTCTTGAGTAAACTACTGCTGCATAAGCTAATTGGGAAGCGTCCGCAAATGCATGCAGTTCGATTTCACAATCATTAATAAAATGAATCCATCTTGGAATTAAGATATTTTTCACTTGCATTAAATCTGATCTGTATTTAAGCCAGTCATTCAAAACCTTTTGTGGCAATTCATCATCCCACGGCAACCCTAACTTCCACAATCTCTGGATAAATACTTTGGCCAAGACCACAACTGGCGCAATCCAGCCCATAGGATCATAAAGTCTAGCTACATCTGATAACACTTTTCGCTTCGTAGGTGTCTGGCTTAACGCAGGTAAATCCACTGTGTATTGAAACTCATCGGTATTTCTATTCCAACAAATACCGAGAACTTTGACCATATTATCTGTCCTAATGTTTATTGAATGAGAATCATTTTGATTATTTTGATCAATAAATTGTAGTAATTTTTTACTATTACTACTCCACTTTTGCAACTGAAACCCACCGGATTTTAGCATATTATTCATTTGATTGTAGATTTCAATAGCCTCTTCCTCCGTGAGACAGCAAGTCATAAGGTCGTCAACAAAATAATCACGCTTTGCAATTTCTGCTGCAATAGGGTAATTGTATTTTTCTTCATCCGCTAACTGTTGCAGTGATTTCACGGCCAAATGAGGTGCACAGGCAGTGCCAAAAGTAAGTGTGAGTAACTCATAATGACCAAAGGGTTCCTCAGGGTTCGCTCTCCAAATTATCCTCTGAAAACGTGTGTCTTCTTGATTTACTCGCACTTGTCGATACATCTTTACGACATCTGCTACAATACATATTGGAAATTTGCGCCATCGCATTAAAATGTGCCTCAAATCCTCTTGTAGTCTAGGACCAACAAGAAGATTGTCATTCAGCGATACACCGTTAACGCCTTTGCAAGATGCGTCAAATACAACACGTAATTTAGTCGTTTCCCTATCTTCCCTTACTACAGCATGGTGAGGAAGGTAGACTGCCTTTGAATCGACCGCATCATCTTCGATTTTCACCATATGATTTAAATCCAAATATTCTTGAATCACTTTGCAGTATTCTTCTTTAAAATTTGGAATTTTTTGAAACTTTTTTTCGAGCAGCTGAAATCTTCTTTGTGCAATATCTTTCAGTCTTCCATATTGACATTCTGGGTCTTGACTATTAAAAGGTAGCTTTACCACAAATCTTCCTTCTTTGTTCCTGAATGTTGAAGCTTCATAAAATTCTTCACATATTTGTTCTGTTTTGGATAATTTCCTTTTAATTGTATTCGGTTCATTTTCTAACTCCCAAAATTTTTTGAGTAAATTATCTTCTTTGATTTGAACATGTAAACTTACTAACGGTCTCGTTGCTAAAGCTGATGGTGATACTCTACCTGAAATAACCCACCCAAAAATTGTATTTTGAGCTAGTAAATTTCCTTGTGGGTGTTTACGCATATCACCTAACAATATCTGACAGTAAACTTCAGCTCCAAGCAAAAGATCTATTTTGCCTGGTGATGCAAATCCTGAATCGGCTAGTGAAAGGTTCTCAAGTTCTAACCAATTAGGTGATGGAATTTTAGTAGAAGGAATTCGTGAGACAAGTGATTTTAATACGTACGCAGTAACCTGAATTGAATCATTTGAATTCCTCTTTGATTCTATACAGAGAGACACCATGTATTTGATTTTTAATTGACCATCTCCCAAACCTGACACGCAACCACTTACTGGCACACGCTTAAGACCTAATAACTGGACGATTTCTTCTGAAATAAAAGATCCTTGAGATCCCTGGTCAATTAATGCACGAAGTAGGTTCGATTGACCACTACGTGAATATGCTCTGACGACTGCTGTCGCCAACAAAACATGTGGCCGATCAATTGTTTCATCTTCTTTGACAAAATTAGCAGCAATCTTTACTTCTCGAT